CCGATCGAACTAGCTGACTGTTCCGCCCATTGGTGACCGGAGTCACTCCACCGACCACCACATCAACGGGAACTTCTCGATGAGGTGAACCGACCATTGGGGCAACGTTTTCGTTGTTGAGTCGCTGCAACTCAACACTATTTCGCACGATGTCAGCTCGTGTGTGGCTGAAGGTGCCAATGCGAGGATGAGAGGGCGTGACAGCGGTTTGCACCGCTTCAGCTGATACTGGCACTCCACCACTGGACCGGCCATTCAGCCAACGTGCCACCTGACTGAAACGAGCACTCCGACGAAGAAAATTGCCTACTGTGTTTAGCTAAAATTAAAAAAAAGTTTTAGATTAGTGTCATTTTATAGTAAGTGGGATTAGATGTCAGTACGAACCTTGCGGATTACTAGTTCAGACTGAATAAGACGATGGGCAAGATAGCAGTTGGCCAGAATGCCAATGATGTAAATGAACAGCACAAAAAGAGAGTACCAATCGTAGGTGAATGTGTTGTTAAAAGTAAATGGACTTTCAGAAGTTAGCGATTGCAAAGTAGTTGTAACAGTATTTTGCTGAGTTTCAATGAATAGCAGTGAGTTGGCAGAGTAAATTGCTTGCAAATTCAAATTTGGAATCTGTTTGGAAGTTTTTGATTGTGAGTTATTTGTGTTTTAACTATTTTAAAAACAAAACTTACAACTTTTTTTACGAGTGATTTAAAATGTTCATCAAAAAAGTGATTTTTAAAGTTTTCTTCAGTGATGTTGTTTTTATCACAAAGGTACACTGTTAAAAATTTAAAATTGAAAAATGAAAAGTTAAAAACTGCTCATTATGAAACAACTATAAGAGTCATAACTTACTTCCAGAAACAAAATAACTGAGGTACACTTGTTTTTGACGAATTTCAATTTGATGCATTAATTTGTCTTGAACATTTGCAGTGCAGTAGTTGCTGCACAAAGTATGGCACACTAGTAACGTTGTTTGAAACAAACTGCTTCTCAAGTAATTTAAGGAAATCTTTACAAACAAAAATATTTGTAAATTGTTGTTATCTTAAATTGTTTATAAAACACAAAACTTACTGTCAAGTTTTGATCATTTAATTCAAATACCAAAGTTAGAATAGAAATGTTTGAAGGTTTTGTAATAGGCTTGATTGTGGTAAAATGTTTCCAGGCAGTTGTTTTTACTTTCTAAATATGTAAAACAAAAAACTGTTACATTTTTGCAATAAAAATTTTTAATTTTACCAATGTTGTTGTTTTTGTTATAGTTTTTGTTGTTTCAAATTTTTGTAAACATTTTTTGCACACTGTGGTTTGAGTTTCAAATTTGTCATTATTGAGTTTAGTAGTTTTAGCAGAAACTGTAGAGCTTGTTTTATTTTTAATGTTAGATTTTTCACTGGAAACTTCGATAATTGTATTAGTGCTGCTGATTGTTGTTGTAAAAATCGGAATTGTTTCAGTAGTTGCACTATTAGTAAAATTTGCAATCAAAAAAGGCAATCCTTTTGTGCTCTCAAAATGTTGTCTGTTCAAAGTAAAGTTTTCTAATTTGGTTGCTTCAGTGATTGTTTCAAGTTTGTATTCCATTTTCCCAACACTTGTTGAGGTGAACAATGCTGGCATTAAGTTATCAACAGGTTTTGCAGTTTTAGAAGATACATTGGTAAACATAAAAGTATGATCTGACAAAGTTGTAGTAATCGCTTCAGGTGAATCAGTTTTATTTGCCAAATTAAATTTTGTTAAGTTGTTTAATGGATTTAAAGTTGTTTCAAACAACGAGGAGGTTGAGTTTGCAATAAAATAGTCAAAAATTTGATTAATCACTGAGTTTGACTGATTGCTGTTAAAGTTGAATAACGCACTTGATGTTAGATTCAAATGGAAAGTTGAACTAGCGAGTCTAACTGTGCTAATTGTTTGCTTAGTGGAACTTTCAAACTCCTGTTTTTGCAAAAAAAAACATTTAAATTTAAATTTTTAACTTAATTTACACATACGCTTTTAGTATCGTTTGTAAAAGTTGTCGTGTTTACAAGTTTACTTGATCCAAAACTGCTATTAGTTGTGTTTGAAATTTTGAGTGGATTCGTTGCAGGACTCTCTGGTAAAAACTGTTGCGACTCGAAGTCAATGCTATCCTGAACTGTGCAAAAAGTTGATGTTATTATTGATGACATAAAAAATTAAAACAAAAATAATACTTACTTGAACGAGGCAATCTTAATCTAAATCTACTGAATTTATTTAGTGATTCAGTTTTTACATTTTTTCTAAACGGAACAGTCTCATCATTTTCAGCGCAAGTTTTATTTTTAAATTTGTTTGGAATTAAATAAAAGAAGTAAAATTGAAACATTAAAAGCACAATTAAAAAAATTGCGCATGTTAAATAGACACTAACTAAAATTTGTATGTTTTTTGTTCTTGTTTTCATGTTGGCTTTCAAAAAAGTTTACTAAAATTTTAAACATTTGTAACTTAACAAAAAATTGGGTACAAATAACAACCTATCATTTTGACTTACAAAAAACAACTGTTAAAATTTGGTAATTTTTTTTATCGAATTGCTTAAATTTAAGTGCAAATGGAATATCTCAAACTGACAGTTATTGTAACCAGAAATATTTTTTGACATAAACATACTGTGAACAATATGTCAAGCTGCTGATATTAGCATCAAGTTAGCATGGGTGTTTTGATGAACAATTTTGCATAGTTTGTTTTTGTTTTTGTTTGTGCAACATTTGTAACATGCAATGTAACATGCAACATGTATGTTTCTTTTTACTACTCTTCTCGTAATTATTGTTAATGTTAAAATTAAACAACAAGTGTCAATTTTTAAACAATTTATTTAATACGTCATCATTTGTGAGCAAAAATAATGGAAACTTTTATCAATGCATTCAAATTTTAAAATTGAGCAAATGTGATTGTAATATGAAAAGGTTTATTTGTACTCGTAGAAACAATTTCAAATGCAAAAAACTTACATCAGGCNCATTCAAATTTTAAAATTGAGCAAATGTGATTGTAATATGAAAAGGTTTATTTGTACTCGTGGAAACAATTTCAAATGCAAAAAACTTACATCAGGCAAAAAAAATAGATGAATGAATAAATGAAATGTTACAAATAGTGTGCCAATATGAATGTGTTCATAACAAACTTGAACGTTATTGAAACGTGAAAAAAGATGAAAATCATATATGTACAACAATTGAGCAAAATGCAAAATGATGGCAAAGGGAGGAGGAGGTTGGGGTCATGAAAAAGTGTGACCAGATAGAAAAGATAGAGAGAAAGTCAATGGGGAGATGTGCTGATGATGATAATGATATGAAGAGGCAAAAAGTCAAAGTTAAAGTAAAGTAAAAGAAGGGGGTAGATCACTAGAGAGTAAAGAGTAGAGAGAGGTGAAAAGGTAAAAAGGCTTAAAAGTCTGCGCGGTATAGCTGATCTGAACAGGCGCTTTTATTAGATGAAGACTGCCTGCTGTGTGGAGGTAGGTTGAAAGCGCGGATTGCTCTGCGCGGCGGAAAGCGTTTGCGCACTTTGCGGCGAGAGAATCATGTTGTGGCCGCCGTTTCCGCCACCACCATTGTTGTTGACGCCCATCTGCGCGCCGGCCACCGCCAGGTGACCGGCGCCACTGTCGCCCATTGCCCCGCCTACTGACCAGTCGTGGGCGGAGAGAGGCGATGAGGTGGACAGCGATCCCCAGGAGTCAGGGCTCGGTGTCGGGTAGGAGTCAGGTGGCCGCTGCTGCTGTTGTTGCTGTTGCTGATGCTGATGCTGATGCTGATGCTGATGCGCCGCCGCCTGCTGTGGCTGCAGCATCAGCTGCACCGGCTGTTGAGCACTTTGCCCACTGCCAATGTTGGGCTGCTGGGCGCCTGTGACGATCATCGTCTGACCACAGACGGTGGCCGTGGCGGCGACGGAGGCGGAGGCACCGGTCACTGGCCACCTCATCATCTGCCCGTTCGGCCCGCCCAGATTGGGCGCCGTAGTGGCAGTGGGCGTGGGCGGCTGGCCGCTGCCGTTGCCGAGGTTCATGTGGCGAGGCGCCACAGCGATAGGTTGCAGCTGCTGCTGATGTTGTTGCTGTTGTTGTTGCTGAGTTTGTTGGTGTTGCATTTGCTGCTGCTGCTGCTGTGTCTGCTTGTAGCAAACGTCTTCGTAGGGAGGCGGCGGCCGAGAAGGCGGCGAGATCATCGCAGAGGAGGCGGTGAGCATCGAGTTGGGCGGAGAGAAGTCAAAGGAGTAAGGCGAGTGACCGCTCAGGTGGTGGAACTCGGTCAGCTGTACTGGCGTCTGCGGAAGGACCGCCATTTGTTGCTGTTGTTGTTGATGGTTTAGTTGATGTTGTTGTGGTTGTTGTTGCTGTTGCTGTTGCTGCTGCATCAACGTAGTGTGGCCGTACATGGGCGGCGGGTAAGCGGCCAGTGAGTTAGTACCATAGCCACTGTTGTGGTGTTGCAGGCTGAGCTGAGTGTTGGCCGCCTGCATCATTACCGAGGCGCCGCCGTCGCCATCAGGCGCCCCAGCGCCGAGCATCAGAATGGGCTGAGGCGTGTTCGGACTGAGCAGCTGCTGAAGCTGCATCGGCTGACAGGCCGTACTGTACGGAGTGACGGCAGAGGTGTTGTTGTTGTTGTTGTTGTTGTTGCTGTTGTTGTTGTTGTTTGAGGCAGTGTTGTTGCCGTTGGTGGCGTTTCGAGGCGGAGGCAGCGGCGGTGGACCGGCATTGCCGCCCACCGGCGACATCAGCGAGGCTGTTTGTGGTGGCGAGGAGGAGGAGGACGCTGAGGAGCCCTTCTTCAGTGTGCCCGACATTGACGACAGCAGCAGTGTGCTCTCAGTGGCCGTGGACAGAGTCGATGACTGGTGCTGGTGGTGGATCGCCTGCGCCTGGGCAGCCTTCCTCCGGCCCAGCGTCCCTCTGCCCAGGGTGCCCGAGGCAGCGGCAGTGGTGGTCATTGCCCAGCCTCCATTGTGCACCGAGTTGGGCGACATCATCGAGGAGGAACCGCAGGAGCCAGGGCTGATCACCTGCGCCATCATCGCCGGCGGCTCGTGCCGGTCCAGCAGGTCGGTGATGTCGGTGTGGTGCAGCTCAATCGATATGTCACGCGGCAGGCGGTCCATGTGGTCGGTGATGTCGCGGTTGGCGTGAAAGTCGAGCAGCAGCTTGGCGCACTTGTAGGCGCCCTCGCGGGCGGCGAGGAAAAGGGGCGTCTCCTCCTTCCCATTCTTCGCATCTCGGTCGGCGCCATTGGCCAGCAGCACCTCCGCAGCGCGGACATTGTCCACGGAGACGGCCCAGTGGAGGGCCGTCCGGCCACTTTCGTCGACCATGTTCAGCTCTGCGCCCGCCTTCACCAGCTCCTCCACCATGCCCTCGCTGTTCATGCGGGCGGCCAGGATGAGAGGCGTCGTGCCGTCGTGCGTCTGCGCATTGAAGTCCGTCTTGCGACTGCGCAGGAGAATCTCAAAGACGCCCCTCGCGTCTGAGGCAATGGCGGTATGGAGCGGTGTCCGTCCGTTGGCGTCCCGGGCGTGGCAGAGGTCGGGAAAGGAGTCGAGGAGGGACTTGGCGGCGTCGACGCGCACGTACCGGGCGGCCAGGTGCAGGGAGCTCTCGCTGGTTTTGTCGCAGACGAGGCTCGGATTGGCTCCACTGCTCAGCAGATCGGTGATCGCCTTGTTCTCTGTGGTCGCATCGGGGTTGTCGTAGGTGCTGAGGGGCATGTTCATGATGACGGCCATCATCGGCGTCTGGCCGTGTGGGCCGGGCACGTCCACCAGCGAGGCGGTGGTGGGCAGTGGCGGCGTCAGGACGTCATGCTGAATGGCATTGTAGTGCTCATTGGTCCAGTGGCGGTTCTCATATGGCTCTTCGTAGATGCCCTCTCGCGCCAGGCAGTGGCCGCCGCCGTGGCCGTTCTTCTCGTCGTTGAAGAGATTCTCCTGCGACTTGAATTGACGCATCTCCTGGCCGTCCGCCTGGTAGCGAATCGAGGTGGAGTGCTTCAGGCCACCGCCCAGCTCCAGACCATTGAGGCGATTGTTCCGCCGGAAGTTGCCTCCTGCAGCATTGGCCACCGAGCTGCTGTGGCGGCTGTTGTGGTTGTGGCCGTGGTTGCCACTGCCGTTGCCATTGCCATTGCCGTTGGCGTCATGAGTGCGCGATCGTCCTGAGCCGTAGATGGAGGCAAAACCCTCGGGGAACCAGGTGGCCGCTCTCATCTTCTTCCCCTTCACAGGACTGTTGCTGTAGAGGACGCCGAGGAGGATGCCAATGAAGAGGAGGGTGAAAAGGCCCAGTATGATGTAGGTGAAGTTCTGCGCCCCGGGAACCGGAGACGTCGGATCGACCCTCGCCTTGTCGGTGTCCACCTTCAGACTCATGGCGTTCTCCAGCAGGTACTGCTCCATCCGTGAGGCAGTGTACTGGTTGAAGCGCATCCACCGCTTAAAGTCCTCTGCATTTTCAATGCACGCACCCTCTCCTTCCGGGCACTTGCTGGTGTCCATCTTCGTCACCAGGACGGTGCCCGTCTCCGTCGACTTCATCTCGTCGAGGCTGAAGACATTGCCGGTGCTGATACTGAGCTGGCGCAGCAGCTCGGTGGCCTTCTTCGGATGGCTGTTGCTGGCGCTGCTGTTGAGCTTGTCGATGCTCAGATTCTCCACCACCAGGACAATCATCACCTCCTTCTCCTTGGCCACCTCGAGGATGCAGTCCATGCCGTCCCAGCCGCAGACGGTGTTGTTGCAGCCCTGGTCGCAGTGGCCGTTGCCGTAGTTCAGCGCACAGTAGGTGTCATATTCAGGGAGGCAGGTGCCGGTAAACTGGCCACTGCCACCACCATTACCACCACCACCATTTCCACCGCTACCACCTCTGCCCGCCGACCGACAGTCGAAGCCGTCGTAGAAGCACTGCGGACTGTTGCACTCGGGGTCGCAGATCTTGTTGCCAAAACGCTCATGGCAGTGCATCGCATTAGGGCAGTCCCGCCAGGGGCCCTGCGACAGTATGGCCAGTGTGTCGTGCAGATGCTCACAGTGTGAGCCGGAGTGGGTGAAGGGGCAGCGGCACTTGAATGAGCCGAAGCCGGTGCCGATGCAGACGCCCCCATTGCGGCAGGGATTGCTGTCGCAGATGTCCATCTTCGTCTCGCAGCGGTAGCCGGTGTAGCCGGGGTTGCAGACGCAGCTCACCTGGTTGCCCTTCATCAGGCACTGGCCGCTGCTGGAGCAGTACTCGGGCCGACATTCGGGGCTGGTCGACTGGCAGTTGGGGCCGTAGTAGCCGATCATGCAGTTGCACTGGTAGCCGTTCGGGCGGTCCTGGCAGAGGCCGCCGTTGGCGCAGGGGTTCGTGGCGCACTCGTCAATGTCTACCTCGCAGTAGTTGCCGGTGAAACCTAAAGATTAAGTAAATAGTAGAAGTCAGGAGCTTGCTCATAAGACGCTTAACAAGCATATAACTGGCTTACCATTGGGACAGTCACAACGGAAGGTGCCAATCATGTCCTTACACCGGCCGCCATTTTGACACGGCTTTGAGGCGCAGTCGTCAATGTTGATCTCACACATTAGACCGGTGAAGCCTGGTTACAATTAGAAAGATAAGTAGATAAAGTTAGCACAAGTGTTAAAAATATTGATGATAAGCAACAAACAATCACTTACCAAACTGGCACTGGCAGGTAAAGTTGCCGATCTGATCGTAGCAGCGTCCGCTGTTTTGGCAAGGATTCGAGGCACAGTCGTCGATGTTCATCTCACAGCGCCGCCCGGTGAAACCGCGCGGACAGTGGCAGAGAAACTTATTCAGGTCGTCCTCGCAGGTGCCGCCATTCAGACAGGGACTGTCGGCACACTCGTCAATGTCCGACAGGCAGCGGGAGCCGAAGAAGCCCTTTGGGCAGACGCACTTGAAGGCGTTTGGGAGGTTGTAGCAGGTGGCGCCATTGGCGCAGGGACTGCTCTGGCACTCGTCAATGTCCACCTCACACTGCTCGCCGCGGAAGCCGACCGGACACTGGCAGCGGTACTTGCCGATCAGGTCGTGGCAGGTGCCGCCGTTGAAGCAGGGATTTGACCAGCACTCGTTGTCGTTGAACTCGCAGTTCGTCCCGGAGGTGCCATTCGGACAGCGGCACTCGTAGCCCGATGACTGGTCGATGCACGTTCCGCCAAAAAGACAGGGGTTGGAGAGGCACTCGTTGATCTGACTTTGGCACATCAGTCCTGGAAGGAGGGTGAAAGAATGCAGTTAGATTTAAGTTACATTTTTAGTTTTTCTTTTAAAAAAGAGACAATCTTCCCACAAACCTGTATAGCCGGTGTTGCAGATGCACTTGAAGGAGTTGACGCTGTCGATGCACTTGCCATTGAAGCAGGGATTCGACTCGCAGTCGTTGATGTTAATTTCACAGTTGCGACCTGTGAAACCGTCCGGGCAGAAGCAGTTGTAGGTGGACTGGACGTTGTGGCAGGTGCCGCCGTTTCGGCACTGGTTGTGGTAGCACTGGTCGACCGATTTCTCGCAGTTCGTTCCCTCGAAACCGTAGGGACACAGACAGCGATACCCGTTGATCAGGTCAGTGCAGACGGCATTGTTCTGACAGGGACTGGAGAGGCACTCGTCGATGTTTGATTCGCAGTGTGTTCCAGCGTAGCCTGAAAGTGAAAGAAAAAGACAGTTTTGAGTTATTTGGTTGATAAAAAGGTTGCGTTTGAAAGTTTTTATAAAAGCAAACTTTTCCCCTTTTTATAGAAAGCACAATTTTTAACAGCAT